ATGTTTTACTTACAATTAGTTGATAATACAAGTCCCTTTACGTAATTCCAAATCAATTGTGATAGTCTCAGGAGTGCTTGGTTTGGTTGCTGGTTTGATTCTACTTTAATTAACACAAGTTTAACTAACACAACCAGCAACCAAACCAAGCACTCCTGAGACTATCACAATTGATTTGGAATTACGTAAAGGGACTTGTATTATCAACTAATTGTAAGTAAAACATTTTTAATTAAGTATCTTAGTGAACTAGAGCTACGGGAACTTATAATTCTCATCATTTCGTATCATTTTTCCCTTCTTAATTCTCATTCACCTCATCCTTTCACTCGTTTGCCATTACTTATCACCATTCAATCTTGGGAATACAAACCTTCCTGGTCCCAGCTACTCTCGGTGAACGCAGGGTTGCCGAAACAGGCTTAGCACATACTACTTAAATCTATTTCGTCAGTTCAGACGTAACAATACTAACTACTCTCTCTCTAAAAAAACAACAAATAGATTTAAAAGACTAGTAAAATCAATTCAAGCCTTACGAAATCTTGACGGTTTATAGACAAAAAGCAACAGAAAAACAAGCGAAAACTTTCATAACAAACCTAGCAAACATATTCACAGCACACAACTTCAATACCCAACATACACAGCCAGTAACGTAAACGATTTCGGAAGCAAAACAAAATCTGATGAAAACACAAATACAAATAACAAAACAGCCGAAGAAATAAAAATGCTAATATCACAAATGAACATAAGTGAGGCACCACGTTACGATCTAATAAATGGCAGAATACTAAAAGAACTGCCACCTAAAGCAATTAGGTTGCTCACAATATTATTTAACGCAATATTACGTGTTCATTACTTACCAAGTACTTAAGAAATCGCGGGAATTATGATGCTCCCTAAACTTAGAAAAGATATGCATGATGTAAATTCTTATAGACCGATATCGCTCTTACCACTACTATATAAACTGCTAGAAAAAATAATATACAGAAAAATGAAACGAATAATTTCCGACAAAAGCCTGATTCCTGACAACCAATTTGGATTCCGAAACAAACATTCTACTGTTGAACAAGTTCACAGACTAACTAATACGATAATCACAGCTTTAGAAAATAAAGCGTACTGTTCCGCTGTCTTCATAAATGTAGAAAAAGCTTTCGATAAAGTGTGGCTTCACGGATTATTATAAATAATCAATAAACACTTTCCACACTCGTATTAGAAACCCCTCAAATCTTACCTTTCTGAAAGAACATTTGACGAAAAAATAAATAACGCTCATTCGAACATAAAACTAATCAAAGCTGGAGTTCCGCTGGGAAGTATCCTCGGGCCAATTCTCTATACGGTAGACATACCACCAATAAACGCAAACTGTACAATCTTAACATTTGCAGACGATACGGCATGCTTACCATAAACAAAGACCCGTAACAAGCAAATTAATCGTTACAAAACCAAATTACTCTTTCGAAGAATGGTTACATAATAGGAAGATCAAGGTAAACTCTACCAAGTGTAAACATATCACGTTTACACTGAGGAAAAGCAAAATACCGAAACAATAACTATATATTACAGAAATTCCGAAAGTAACGACGGTCACATATTTGGGACTACACCAAGATTTCAAACTAACATGGAAAAAGCATATAAATGCCAAAATTGAACAAATTCGTTTTATAAGAAAACAAATGGCTTAGCTAACTAGTAAAAAATCGAAACTTAGCATAGAGAACAAACTAATAATCTACGAAACAAAAATACAACCAATCTGTAGACATATGGATTACCGCTATGGGGTATAGCAGCTAAAGGTCACATTGCTAAGCTCGAAGCTCAACAATCCATAACCCTACGCGCAATCGTGAATGCTCCATGGTACGTCCGTAACAAAGAGATAAGGAAAGACTTAAATATTCCCCAGATAGAAAAAGAAATAACCAAGTCAACTTACAGGTACAAAAGAAGAATTGATACGCACATAAACCGGCTAGCCAACGATAACTACAACCAATATATACCTAGAAGGATCAAAAGAGTCCACCCAGGGGACCTGGTAAAAATTAATTCTAAATGAAATAAATAACAATAGCGACGCTATCTCATTGAAGAAACCATCCACGTGCTATCTTTTTTCACATATATAACAATTTACCATATGTATACGGACAAATTGTAAAAATGTATGGAGTTAATAAAAACAAAAAAAAGCATTTGTGTTCAAAAACCTATTTGATTATTTTATTATGCATCTTAGGAAAGTTTCTAGAGAACTTTGGAGATCTAGTAATCTTTGTAAGTCGCGTACCGTTAAGGCCTTACGTATATCTAGCAGCGCCAAAAATGCTCTAAAAGAAACAAATTTTTTATATATGTAGTAGAGAGGAATAACAGTAGAAATTAATAAAAATAAATAGTACACATTGTTTATTAGTATTTAAACTTAAAAAAAAATTTTATTTCACTTTATTTTTACAAAAATTACTATATAAAAAAAATTACTATATAAAAAATCACGTGAGTCACAACACTAAGAAAAAAGAGTAGCTCCACAGTCGGTATCATATCTCCAGTAAATGTTGATCGATGTACAAAATTTAGAAAAATTCTTGTAAAATAATATAGTAGTAGTAGAGTTGTAGCAGTAGTGTAGCTGTCGAGGCGAAATTTGGAATATTGGAAAATTTAACAATTTATGACAGTTTAAAATAAAGTATGCGTTTTACATCATAAATTTTAACCTATAATTATTTTCATAAAATTTTAAAAGTCAAAATATCCAAAATTCGACTTAACAACTGTAGCGGAAACGATTTTAAACATTTAAGAAAGTCGTATTGCAAAATATTAAAAACTGTATGAGTTTTCATGGTGGAAAAAGTAGTTTCGAGAAAAACACGTATAAAATTTTAAGTGTCTCAAACAAAGGACGGCTATCTGCGCGTACCAAACTCTTGTCAGGCAGTCACATTTTCTATCATAACTTTGGATCTATAGGGAATTTTGGCAATTGACTTTCGCAAGAATAATCCTTAAACTATAGAGAAGAACAATCTTTTAAAAAGAAAATCGAATTTTGGAAAATTCTGGACGTATGTAAGGCCTTTAAAGACAGAATGTTTTCAATCCAAAAAAAGCGGAACGTGATGAAAGTGTTACAAGTTCATCAGCTAACAAATACAAATGTGACATAGAAGATGATGTACCTGAAAATAGTCGTGTTAAATATAGAATAATAAACTTTATTTCTATATTACGGCCATTTCGAATCTTGTAAAGAGAAAATAGTGTAATGGAGATGTGAAATTTCAGACAGCCAACACACGTGGTTTGGGATTTAAAATTGTGGTATCACGTGATGATTTTGTTAATGATAAGATTCCTTGTAATAGTATTCTATAAGTACATAAATTAAGTGTAAGATTGGAAAAGTCTTTCAAAAATTTTCAAAAATTGATAACTCGAAAACTATGAGCTTTAGCAAGATTTTGTATAAAATACTTTTGTTTTGAAATTGCGCAAAATATAAAAACAACATTAATTCTATTAAAAATTTAATGCTCGACTTCTCGGCAAAAAAATTATATATATTTGGATTCAGCTGATAAAAATACATAAAAAAAGATTAGCTTCATTCGTTGAGCTCAAAATTTTACGAAAATATAATACCGTATCCAAATAAAAAAACTTTAAATGCGTTTTTCTCCAAAACTATGTTCGTCAAGTCGGTGACCACTATAATTCAATAACTCTTCGATGGATTTTGATGAATTTATTACTATTTATTAATAGCACTAAAAACTAATTCTTTATGGAAGCAATTTTATTTATGAGATAAACTTTGATTTTTTTTAACAATAGACCCATAATGTTTCTGTCGAAAATCGAAAAAAAATTCAAAAATTTTGCTAATTTTCAAAAAGAATAAAAAAGTTTTGATAAAGGATAAGATTTATTATTAAAGTATAATGATTTATATTATTTTTTGGATGATCCAGTAAGATGTTCTGATGGTCACCGCGAAGCACCACATGCGAAACGGGGTCCAACAAGGATGCCTATATTTTTATGATATTAATAATTTATATTTCTTTTTTAGAATTTTTTGTAGAAGTCAAGTTTAATCATAATAAAAAACGCTAAGTAATCAGTCTTCTAAAACAAACTTTATTATTTAATGAAAAAAATTATTAAAAATTCTCCTTTTTTTATACCTCTGACTGCATCTCCCCCTTAAGCGGGCTGCAACAAGACTGTTACAAATAAAGCAATCATAGATATTCTTAAACGTTTATAAACTTCGTAAAAATGTATCGAATGCGCTTAGTTATTTCTTCTAAAAGCTTCTATTAGTCGATTCTCACTTATTACACGACTGTACAAACGTATTGCCTATCGCCAGGCGCTGAATAATGTAAATGAAACTTCCAAGAACGTTTGGGCGTGAGCGAAGTAATTCGAAGTAGTGCTGCCGGCGCAAAGCGAAGAAATTTTTTCGAAACGACTAGACGTCAACGTGTGAATGTCGATCTAAACGTAATATAATCTTCTACTACGATAAGTAACAACAGGCCCTACATAATAACACACCGGGATGAAGTAAGTTCCAATTATTACAAGTGCGCATAGTAGAGTGGCACGCACAGTTTCAAAAACCCGCTTCATGTTTGCTTTTGTGTGGGCGTGTGTGTGTGTGTGTGTGTGTGTGTGTGTGTGTGTGTGTTTGCATAAGTGCCTGATGCCCGATAATGTATTCTTTTTAATATTGCCGAAATATCATTTAGTGTTCCATAAAATGT